TTCAGTAGCTGCGGCTAAGCTGGGAGGGAACCGGCTCTCACTTCGGAGCTCCCACGTTCCCCTCACCTGAGGGCTAACATCTACACTTCAGCACCCAAACGATAGGACCGAATTGGAGATTCTAGTCTGTCACTTTAAAATCTCCAATTCTACGCCCGATAATAATATTTCCCTATTTATTTGAACCCAACTTCCAACGGCTTTGACCTCTCTGAACCTTGGATGTAATCTTCACTTTAGTTGTAAACTCAACATATTTTAACAAATCAATTGGCCATATTGAAAGTAAATTAAAATCGAAGTGAAAATATCATCACAATTTCTTAAATATTTTCATGGCTTTGCCAATTCAAATCACCATTTTACAAATCTTGAGACAAGGAGAAAGACAGAGAAAACTACTCAGAACGTATGGGGAAAACACAATAAAACTCGGAATTTATATATAAAATCAAAGTCATACAAACTACGACAAGTAAATAACTTATCTCTAAATTCTCCCCAAGAACACTCCTCGAAGTTACTCTGAATCTCTTCCTTTCTTTACAGCACACAGAATTCCTCTTCAAAGTAGCAAGGAGGAAGAAATCTCTTACTTTCCCTCCACTCTTACAATTTCTCGAATAAATCTTACAATTGTTACACACTAATGGAACCTCTCTAACCTCTAGGGTCTTTCTAACATCCAGGACCTCTCTAATTTTCGACCAAAATGTTCTTTTAAAAATGTGGATGAGCTTTCCCAGGAGTTGCCTAAGCTTCCCTTCAAAATTTGGCCTTATTCAAAGCTAGAGTAGGCATAAGCGTCGAGGGCCCCGTCGGCGGCCTTCTGAAGAATTTGTCCTATAGTCTCGGGAAAAACTCGCCGTCGGCGGGGTCGAGGGCGTCGTCGGCTTTTCACATTTTGGTCATTTTCGCTTCAAATTTGCTCCTTTTTGTATCTTTTTGCTCCAATGATCCTTATTCATCATTTCTACAACAAAACATCAAAAATATCTTTCTTTAAAGTACAATATCATTAAAAATAGTATAAAATAAGTATGAAAATTTTAACATATTTTTCTTTGGTCAGGCGCCAGTTTGGGTGCTTAGGTGTTGGGCATTTCTGCAAAAATGGAGCTTAGGTGTCAATGCTAGAATCTGGACCCCTTCGCCTAACGTCCAATTAAAATGCCACAACCTATCTAGATCATTAAAATAATTTTTTTGTGATTCTTTGCATAATGTAGGTCTCATTAACACTTAGTATTTTCAAATTAACCACACAACTATAAAACTTTACAACAATAAACTAATATCAATCCAAACTGATAACCATGAGTTGTCTTCCACGGAGCACTTGGTTTAACGGTGTTGTCCCAACGTACCCAATGTTTATTTTGCTTAACCCAACAAATGGACTTCATTAAATACATGTCTCTTACCACCAAAGTAATCTTTTAGTATGTGACCATTTACCTTCAATGTTTATTCTATTTTGGGTCTTTAATATCCACAAGACCATATGTATAGACTTTTATTATAAAAAATGTCCCCGACCACCTGGACTTAAGTTTTTCAAGAAATAGTTTCAATGTTGTATTATATAGTAAAATTTCTTTTCTTAAAAACTTTTGATCATGCCAGATTTTCATCTTTTTCTTATAAATTTTCGCACTCTCATATGATTCATTTCTTATTTCCTCGAGCTAATTTAATTGCAATAATTATTTCTCACCAGCATCCTTTAAATTATAATTAAAATTTTTAATCGCCCAATAAACATTGTGCTTAAGTCCTACTGGCAAATGTCACATCTTTCCAAATATGAGCCTATATGGTCACATTCCTATAGGAGTTTTATGTGCATCTTATACACCTATAACTAGGGGTGTAAACGAACCGAACACGAACGAACAGAGCTTGTGTTCGTGTTCGGTTCGTTTGAAATTTAGTTTGTTTGAAATAAGCTCGTGTTTGAAATTATTCGTGAAGTCACTGTTCGTGTTCGTTTTTTAACGAACGAGCCGAACACGAGCTGTTCGCGAACGACGAACCAGTTTGACATCCCTAATATTAATATATATAAATAATATATTATATTAATTATATAACTCATATTATATAAATATATAATATTTATATTTGTATATTACTAATATAATATATGAATATATTATTATTATTAATTTATTATATATTATAATTTATAAAATTTAATTTTTTAAAATATCATAAATTTTTTATATATAATTATTTTAATTTTTTTTTATATTTCGAACAATAAAGATTCGAACACGAACGAACGCATTACTGTTCGTGTTTGGTTAATTTAACTAACCAAACGAAAAAAATTTATTCACGTTCGTCTCGTTTACTTATCGAACAAATCGAACACGAACTCATTGACGAATCGAACACGAACTGTTCCCGAACAACGAGTTTTTTTGACAGCCCTACCTATAACGCATTATCAAGTCTAGCATACCAATTCTTTCTATGAGGATTAATAGTTTTTTTCATTATTCTTTTAGTTTCACGATTAGAAACTTCGGCTAAACCACTGGTCTAATAATGATAAGCTGTGGTAATTCTATGTTTAATTCCATATTTTTAAATTAAATTTCTATTCTATTGTTCTTAAAATGACTTCCCCCATCTATATGATCACTCTTGGCATTCCAAATCTATTAAAAATATTTTCGTTAAGAATTTTGCAATGCTTTGAGCATCACAACATGGTGAAGCAACTGCTTCTATCCATTTAAAAACATTGAGAAACTAAAGTTGTACGCAACTTCAGTTAGTCTACTAGCATGAAGACAGGGGACTGAGTTGCAGAGGTGGAGAATTACATGTTAGAGGAAGAAGAAAATGCAGCTAGTGTACCAATCTCAATGTGGGAGATTTGTTAAGTACTGTGGAGCCCGATCCACTTCTCCTTAAGCGGTTTCTTCTTTATGATAGTTAGTTGAACCTTTATTTAAGATTTTTTCTTCCTTTTATTCTTCTTGCTCTTATGGAATCACCTGTGTCCTTCCCTTCTGGGATCTCGCTCGATAATTGGATTTTGCCCTCATTTGTTCGCGAATAAAATGGGCTTTGCCTCTTTTGTTCGAATAAGCAAGCAAGATCAGGGCGACAACAACCAAAGGGAAGAAAGTTTTGAGCGACTGTAACCGAGGAAGATGTTTTCGACAGCGGCTAAACCTTCTGTCGCGGTTGAAGGAGTCCTGGCGACCGAGGCATCGATGGTCACTTGAGGTGATTGCAAACGTTCAGAAGGGTTGCTGGTCGTGGCAAGTCAGAAGGAGAGGTTGAGAAGTGGAATCGAGTTCTTGTAAAACAAAACGAGAAATTGTGTAATCTTTCAGGCAATAAATTCCTCTGTAACTCCTTGGACGTAGGCAATTTACTAATCCACGTAAATCTATGTCGGTGTGATCCTCTCGTTTTATATTTTTCGTTTTATCGCAATCGTTTTTCACAACAGTTACAAAATTAGTATTCTAAATTAAAAAGTTAACATTAAACTAATAGTTATGTAAATACATAGAAACTGTATGGTATGCATACAAATAATTTAAAAAAAAAAACTTTCATTCAAAATACTAACGGGAGCGAGAACTGCGCACTACATTACTTGATATTAAAGACAACTTATTTTAAATAAAATTTTAAGGGGCAATTACATACATTACATAATTCTTATATATTCACATATCTATCACCTAAACATCCATATTTACATTCACTACTCAAATCTTTAACACCATGTAAAAATACCACAATTACTTTCTTTTTAAAAGTGATAAACACAATTTCACTTATAGATTTATGACAGTTACCAAACTTTGAGTGTAAGATATATAAATACATAAGAATTGTGTATCTACATAGATAGATAGATAGATATAAGAATAACAGGAGGATATTATACGAGCCCCTATTAACCCTCATATGTAACTATTCTTATGTATTTACTCCCGGCAAATTGGCCAGAAAGAGATTTGAACACGTGACTTGAGACGACTTACAGACTTCAAAGAAGCAGCTCCACCAACATATCACGACTAACGACACTATATATATATATATATATATATAAAGAAAGCGATATATATATATATATAGGTAAAATTTCAAAATGACCCATATAAGCTTGTTGGTTCAAGCGTGCAAATAACATTTATAAACCCGACCATAAAGTATGTTAAAATAATTCAGATCACAAACTTTACTGGCAGTGATACTTGTCAGATAAAGGTGACCAAGATTGACATCCGGCAACATAATGGAAATAACCGAACAAATGTCCCTCATCTTTTTTTAAAGAAACTAAAACGCACATACAGAATATGGATGAAGCCATTTCCTTTTTTAACTCGAACAACTCTTCTCTCATGTCTCGTAATCCGTTTCTTGCCAGCTCTAATACGACAACGCACATGTGCTGCCATTAACAATTGAAGGACAAAATATAGATGCTAAATTTATGACAAAACTTCTATTCACAAGTAAAGAAGAAGTTAAAGTTGTTCTTTCAAGTGATTAAAAGAACGGCATCAGAGAACAAAGTAGCAGAAATGAATTCAAATAAATAATGCTTTTAACTAGTTTAGGCTATTAGTTTATGGCTCAGGACCTGTAAACATAATTAATTAAGATATGATTCCACCAAGCAAAAGCTTTTAACATGTACTTCGAGCCGCTATATTTTAAAATGGCATGATTCCAAAGTGTACCTTTCAGCAAATTTAAAAGGCAGAACTGCATTGCAATGGCAGCGGGAGCGTGAACTTCTTCTTACCTTTACTAATTGTTTGTAAAAAATACCAAGAGAAACCTAGATACGTTAGCGAATACGAGAAAATAAACCCGGCCTCGAATTCCATGAATACATTTTTTGCTATGTGAGAACTACCAAATCTTGTACTAACGAAGAATTAAAATCTTAACCAAAAACTTGGCAGAAATTGAGAAAATATGAGGATTCATAAAGCCAGCCTCAGCTAATGGTGAAGATGTTGATATCCACATATTTAACAATAACACATAATTGAATTATTCTAGTACATTCATAGTTGTCTTCAAAGGCTATCAAAATTTTATGAAAAAAAAATGGAAGATTGAAAGAATCTGAAGCATCTAACAGGCCCGAGAATAAGAATATCTACAGCACCAACGGTTTGCTTCTGAATTCACCCTCTCTTACCTTCCCACTTAAGTGAATGGCTAACACCATCCACCCTTTTGCTTTTCTGAAAGGCTTTGCATGTAAACTCTCCTGTTCGAATTACTCGATCTGCTCGCCTATTAGGTCAAGACCAACCAACAAAAAAGAGATACCTTGGAAGAGCAAAAAGTAGAAATGGACGCCTTGGGCGGAAAGCAAGCTGCGAGCTGCAGCAGTTAGAAGAAGAAAGGCGAGGGAGAGCTCTTTTCGATAGATTCTGTTGTGCTTTTTTTTTGGAAGTTTCTTCTCCATTGTCAATTCAATGGCGACAGAATCGAGGGCAGGAGCAGAACTTCCACGATGGTGCTTAGTTTCTTTCCCAGACAGGGACACGAGGTCACCTTCTGAAGAACGGCCAGATTTCTTGGTAACCACCCATTCATATGCACTACCGAGTTGAAACAGGCCCGATATCATGGCGTTGAACTTGGTGACGGACATAGTGTTCTCAAACAAGAGGTAGGGGACGATGAACGGAAAAGATCTCGGAGCAGGAAGAATGTTGAGAAAAGACATTGTAGCTGGGATGTAGCAGACAACCCAGGTTGGGAGTTCAGCTTCGGGTACGAACATTGTCATGGGGAGTATGATGCAGAAGAGGGTAAATGAATAGAATGGTAAGATGAGTTTGCGGAGCAGAAAGAAGAGGAAGATGAGATTGGCCTTCTTCCAGAATGCAATCTGCATTAAATGAATACTTTATACAGTTAGCACAACTTTAAAATAACTAGATAGATGGAAAAATAACGCTGATAGTAAAGTTTGAAAAACAGAGATTTAACTTTTAAATTTAGTCCTATCTCACAATGTTTCAGATTTGATTCTGATTGCAGACAGGATTGATGGATAAATTAAAAATAAATTCAAAAAAAAAAAAACCACTCACCAGCAATGGCATTTCTTGATCAGCACCATCTTTATATATGATTTGAAGGACTTGGCATTTTTAGTGTAAAAAATAAGTATTTTAAATGAGAAAAGAGGTGAAATGAAATGGAGATACATCATTTGCCAATCTTAAGCTTTATTTCATCATGTATTCAAATTAAAATGGAATGGATATTTCAATATATATATATATATATAAATTGTTCAGCGGGAAGAAACACAAATTAATATGGTTCCAATTTAAAAGCAAATATCATTGAATAAAAAACAAGAGATAATGGGTGCCATAATTAGAAGGAAAATGAAGGCGTAGAAAGTGACATGGACAACAAACGTGCCTGTGGCTTTCAGTGTTCAAACGAAAAGACACTTACACATGTCTACATTTATTAGACGATTCATTTTGCTTTTATAGAGTAATTCAACAATTACCTGTTAATACTAAGAGACAAAACAGAACTAATTTGGTTTTTAGTAGTTTATCATGTAGATCGAACAAAGAAGACGGTAATTTGCTTTCCTCAATAAAATGCCAATCAATGCAGAAACATGTTAATAGCATATTGTATAATAATAAATGACTATGGAGTCGCAGAACACGAGAAATTCAACAATTACCCGTTAATACACTAAACTCATAGAGAACAAACAAACTAATTTGATTTTTAGTAGTTTATCGTGTAGATCGAACAAATGAGACAGTAGATAATTTGTTTCCCACAATAACGTGCCACTCTATGCAGAAACATGTTCAAAACATAGTTTTATAATAATAAATGTCTATGGAGTCGCAAATACGTGATAAAAGAACATTTGGGGTATATTTGAAGAGGTTTTTGATCCGCAGGGATGACGGGATATCAACTTGACAATCTCCCAAACCTTGCCTCAACTCAAAGGCGTCAATGCAAATTAGGCCGGTAGGTACAGCGAGGTTTCCCCTCTAAATGATAATTTTTCTAAGTCTTTAGAAGGGATGCGATAAAAACAAATTAATAAAAATAAATAAATAATAAATTAATTAATTAACCAAAGAAAGAACTTCTTAGTCAAGAAAACTCATCCAAAAGAACCAATCAGGAATTGTAAAAGATCAAAAAAATGTCAATTAGAAACTGACACGGCCCAAATTAGCTTAAGGATGACAGAAAGATTGTTTGGCACCAAAATTGGAGATTAGTGGTATCCTACAAAATAGCCAAATGGTAGCCGGCTTAACATGACCATGGACAGAGTTAGAATGGAACATGTTCTTAAAAATATAAATATACTCTTCAGAATTGGGACCAGAAACTTCACAGTTGTCATAAATTAAGCATATGGATAATTGCAACCCACTCTTAATAAGAAATAGTCATTGAACACATAAGTATAAAATGCAGAAATAAATAAACGAAATTGTAAATTGAAAGATTTAAAAATGAACTACCTTCGATCTGATAATATCCGGCAAACAAAGCCTGAACAAATGCATTGGCCCGGAATGCCACCGGTGCTGCTGCTTCCTGTAAGCTTCATAGGATTCTGGCAATTCACATTGACACTACAAAATGAAATAAGATAAACCAATTTTCTAGCTCAGGCAAGCAAGCATTTCAAATATACTGACAAATTATGCGGCCAAACAGAGGAGTTCGTTCAAAACCTCAACATCATTCAAGAAGACGAACTTCCAACCCTTGAGATGAGCCCTAACAGCAATGTCCATATCCTCAACTGTTGTCCTCTCCAGCCATCCCCCAGCATCCTCCAATGCTTTGATTCTCCAAACTCCAGCGGTTCCATTGAACCCAAAAAAGTTCAGAAAAATCCCATTCACCTGCTGCTCGACCTCAAAATGGAAGCAAAGATTGATGTTTTGAAGCCTGGTCAACAAGTTCTCATCTTTGTTAATAAAAGACCACCTGGCTTGAACTAATGCTAGCTCATCGTTATCCTGAAAGTCAGCATCACTACAATTGTGAACGAAGGAAATCTGAAACTAAAAAATAAATAAAAAGTAAAAAGAGAGAAAAGTTAGTCAAAACCAGTGCCACCTTGAAATGCGGAACTGTTCGCTTCAAGAAATCCGGAGAGGGTTGGAAGTCGGCATCGAAGATGGCTACGAATTCATAATCCCTAACATAGCTACAGGTCATGGCTGACTTTAAATTTCCAGCCTTGTAGCCATCTCTGATGACTCGGTGGCGGTAGATGATTCCAACGCCAGTTTGTTCCCACTTGTCCACCTCCTCCCTAATCATGGCCTGTGTAGTCAGATCATCAGAATCATCCAAAACCTGGATGACCATTTTCGATTTTGGCCAATCGAGGTTACAAATTGCAGCGATAGATTGCTGGTAAACCTGAAAATGAAGAAATCAGAGCTGAAGAATTCTAAGAAAACAAACATTCAATGTACATTTTGCAAAATCTCATCCTTTGCAAACCTACCTCTCTCTCATTGCACATGGGTATCTGGATGAGAACCATGGGGAAGTATTTACCATCTTCGACATCTTCTTTAGTCGGTTTGATAACAGGTTTGATCCTCTTGAAGCGGATCCAAAAGCATCCGAAACAAAGAATGACGCGGTCCGCACTTTGAATCAGGAAGAGGATGACACAGGCGTTGGCAAGAAACTGAAGTAGTGGAGCTATGTACTCTGAGCGAAAGATGACCCAGCCTGTATACATGGAGCCGAAAATGCTCCGAACCCTTAAAGATGGAAACTTGAAGCTATGGAGCTCAGTGGCGGAAATGTGCCAGCCTTTCACATACGCCGCAATCTCAAACGCGAGGAGAAAGATGGAAAGCAGAAGAAATATTTTAATGCTGAAGTAGAAGCGGCGACGAAGAGCTGGGCTCTCGTCGGAGTCGGAGTCCGTTCGGCCAGAGGCCACGCGGCGGCGAATTGCGGAGGCGAGACCCACGACAGCAGAGGCAAGTGAAGTGAGGCAGCCGGCAGCGCGGTGGGCTTTGAGGAGAAGAACCCAAGTGATTTGTTTCGCATTCTTTCCCTTTCCGCCTTTCCGTGCGCCGGCGAACTCGTCGCCACCGGAGATGTCTTCGTCGTCCTCAAGCGATGAGATCTCCGAGATCGACCAGTTGGGGTTCTCCATTTTCACCACTACAGGGGTGCCTCGTTGGCTCTCCATTCCCCACCAATCGAACAAGGGACAAGGAGACCACTCCCCGCCCAAAGGGAAAAAAAAAAAAAAAAACTGCAAAAAATCCAGCAAATTGGCGAACGTTGAACAAAAAGAAGCGAAAGATCCAAGCTTTGCTATAAATCTAGCTACAGGAATTTAAATCCCTAAAAAGTGAGATCTCGCTTTCCATTTTCCAGGGAAAGAAATCGAAGACAATGCCGTAGTTCGTCTTTACGTATCCGACTCATCGCCGTCAAGCTCTCATCTTTATGTCGGTCGCAGCTCGGAGAAACTCCCGGATTTCATCTTGAGGTCCTCCTGTGCCCCCAATGCAAAACCAAGCGTACCAAATAGCTTGAGACGCCCTCTTTAAAGGTAGAGAAGCAAAAGAACGGAAAATAAGACGAGGACTTTCTCAGTTACTACCAATTTAAAAGTGATTATGGAATTGGTTAATACTAATCACTTCGAAAGCGACGGGCTCGCAGCTGGAGATTGATGGCGATGGGAAATCAAGGCCCCTTTGGAAATATTTTTCATGGACTTTTGAGTTTAAGTAAAACGAGGAATAAAAGATGCAAGAGAGGGGTGAATCATTGCATCCCCAGCAAGCTTCTCATGAACTTTTTCAGGATTTTTCAATCTCTTTAAAAATTTACGACACCATGAAAAAAATTACCCAAGAAAACCTAACAAAAGAAGGAAAACAAGATAAACTTTTTTTATAAATATACAGAAGAACAGATGAAGAAGCAATAGGTAAAAATGCTAACGGGTTCGATAGATTAAACGGAGGACAAGGATGAAGAGACGATAAGCCCTAACGACCGTGCGCCATTTCCACCGAAATGACCAAAAACAGATATAAGGTAACGCTTTCTTACACTAATAATTAAATTAACTCACTAATAAAATGCAGCCACGTGGATTTTTAAGCTGGTATTAAAATTACCTTAATCTTTTGAATTACAGCAGTGAAATTATTTTAAGTCTAATGGCCTCCAACAGGATTGTAAATAGAATGAGTGCGAAGTGATTAGAACCCTTGGATTTCCTATCGTACACGTGTTCGACTTGACGATCAACCAGTTTTCCGAATCTTACGTGAATCAAATGCTTCTCAATCGGGTAGTCTCTAGCGAAAGACACCGACATGTTTTGGGAGATGGGTGTTTCCTATCGTACACGTGTTCGACTTGACGATCAACCAGTTTTCCGAATCTTACGTGAATCAAATGCTTCTCAATAGGGTAGTAATTTCTAACGCCCACTAGTTTCTCTAGCGAAAGACACCGACATGTTTTGGGAGGGGTGTGGCACTGGCGTAAATTTATTGATCGTTCAATAGTAAGCATTGGAGATAAGGTTCGGTGGGGCTCAATACGACGTATGATATTTTCATGCGGCTCACCGCATATTACGGCCCTTTGCGGAATATTAATCTGTAACGCCTCGGGGTTTTTGTTCCGAAAGATGAAAAATGTTGGTTAGAATTCAAAGACCAAGATTGCAATTTTAGCGATTTGATTTTCGAGATTTGTGAGGGTGATATCTCCGAGAGGACTTTTATTCAAGTCTTGTAATAAAAAAGCTAAAATTCGAAAGCTTTTAGGGGCTGTATGGCTACGGATTTAGTAAATCTTATAAAACGTAATTAAATAAATTTTTAAAACTTGGGGTCTATTTAGGACAGCTGCAGCTTATCATGATAAGGTGCGTATCTATAGCTGATTCTGATATGTTGTTTGTCTGTTTAGTTTGTGCGTTTGAAAAACAGCAGATTTACAGCTGTTTTGGATAAATGACCATTCTGCCACTATTAAGTAATGTTGTTTGCAATAGAATCGTCTTGAAAATATATTTGATACTAGAGATACAGAAAACTCATACAGAACAGTAAAAAAATTAAGAAACAACTCTCACTTAGCAATGAGTATCGATATTGATAAAAAAAGAAAAATTTTATTAAAATGACAAAGGTCAAAGGCAAAATAAAAAGTACCCTCACCTAAGAAATGCGATGTTTATCAAGTGTAAATATATAAGAAATATTGGAACAACAAGTCCTTATGCACATCTCAAAAAAGCACACTCACAAAAAAAAAATTATTCGCTAGTAGATACATCCTCATTCAAGTAGATTTTAGGAAATACAAGCAACCATTGAAAATACAAGAAGCAGAGCTTCTCAACACTTTGCATTAGCAAAATTTCAGAATAGTTCATACACACATCCTCCTTCAAGTAGATTTTAGGAAATACAAGCAACCATTGAAAATACAAGAAGCAGAGCTTCTCAACACTTTACATTAGCAAAATTTCAGAATAGTTCATACACAATTAAAAACAGTTCAATCTACCAAATAATTAATAACTACATCAACCAAAATCATAACGCAGTAATAAGATTGCCTACTCACGGCCTATACAACAATATTAACCAATAAAATTTTGGACATTCAGTTTAGGTTAGTGAGCAATGAGCCTGAGCCAGTGATGACAAGGAAGCAGAGGCAGTTAAGAAATGCGATGTTTATCAAGTGATTGCCCTTTGATAAGAAATTTGAAGAACTAGGAGAAAATAAAATTTTTTCGAACGGCGAGCGGGAGGGTCACAGAAGCGAGTTTAGCCGCGAATTCCGAGCAGGTGGTGGTCTCGAGAGCCAGGTGATGGTCACGGAAGCGACGATGGAGAAAGTCGCGACTATGGCGATGGTGACGGCAACGGCGATGGCGACGGCAAGGGTGACAGGAGAAGCGATGAATAACTTTAAGGGAGACGACGAATAGGCGAGGGAGAAGTTGCCCAGGCAACAACGGTCGAGTAGCGACGGTTTCTTCGCCTGGCTTTCGGCAGAGGAGCAGGGTAGGTTTCTCGTGAGCGAGTGAAGGCAAGGAGGTAAAAATTAGGGGCGAACGCGGATAACCAACGTCGATTTGCGGAGTTATACCCGTGATCGCATGTAATGTAAAAAATAAAACGGAGTTTTGAGATAATCTATCCAAATGCGCGAAACAAAAGGATAGGCGGCGTTTTTAAAAACACCACTACACTTATAAACTGTCCCAAACAGGCCCTTAATTTTTAAAAATTATTTGACATCCTATTTGATATTCAGTTAAATATTGTCAAATTGATTGATACTTTTTATGAAAATTTAAAATCGCTTTGTTTATATGTCTGAAAAATATT